AGACGGAGCGATTTCAAACGCGAAAACGTGACGCCAGCCAGCGCAAAACTTCTCTCCTCCGCAGATTTAATTTTACGTATCTCGCGCGCGCGTGTGTGTCGAGACCAGCAACGACGCTAACAGTGGGCTCTGTTATACGTTCGAAAAATAAAAAAAAAAAGACTGCCACGCGCTGATACTCGATATTTCCTCGATCTCCCTACGGCTACGATACGAATACTCCGCGAAAGTACAAAACGTCGGCGCGTGTCAAACGTGATTGCGTAATGCGTATGGTATTCGACCGCGGCCGCTCGATTCGGCAAACATCGAGATACGCGGACCGAGAGAGGCTCGGGCCGATAAAATGTAATAATAAGTATCACGAGTGCAGGCAATATCGAGGCCGATGCGATCTCGTTGTTCTCTCGATGTTTATGCCGTTTCCGCGATCGAACGTGCGTCCTCTCGTCAAGTGATTTAACGTGACTTAACGAGATTGCAACGTCTCGATCTTCCTCCAGGGGAGACCTTTGACATCTACGGACTCGCAAGGTGACAGAAATTGTACGTACCAAATATCAACTCGTGGGTGACCGTCTGCTCCGTGCTGCTCCGTGGCATGTCGAAGGCGGGTGGGGGTGGCGGTGGAAGCGGCGGCTGCATGGCGTTCTCCATACCCTCTCGCTCCGTTCCTCCCTCGTTCACTCGCTCACTCGTTCTCGTTCTCTCTCTCTCTCTCTCTCTCTCTCTCTCTCCTCTTTCTCTTCGTCTCTTCGTCTCCTTCGCGCCTGACGCCGCGCACTTGTCACTGTTATCGGCCGTTCCTACTGGACGTCGCACAATCGGAAACGAATCGCGATCCGCTCAATCGACGCACATTTTGCGGTAACACGGTACGCCCATATCCGCGACGGGTAACGTCTCTTTATCTCCTTCTCTCTCTCGTTCGTACGCTTCTTGTATCGCGTACGTGCACACGTGTGTCAGTTCCGCGCGTATCGCGTATAATACGTACGCGCACGTATGTGTGTACGCGTGCGCGCGCCCGAATGTGTATATACGGAGTACGGCGATAATACGGCGTAGAGGAGCGAGAGCTCCTCCGATTTTGCGCGTGCAGAAGGTGCAGGCCGGAGGATACGTACCGGCGCCTCCTCGTGACGCGTTTCTTCGCGTCGCGTCCTCGCGGGGATCGCTCGCGGGAATATTCACGGTTAGCGTGACGCCGACGCCGCCGCTGCCGCGGCTCTTTTTACATGGTCACCTCCGCAGACCGTCCGGATTCGCCGCGCCCGGAATGGTGTGCGGACGGTATCCGCAACCGTGACGCCGGACCCGTGCACGTTTTCGCTACTGCGCGCTCCGCGACTCGCGGCGCAACCGCCGCGCGTCGCCGCTCGTCGCCCGTCGCCCATTGGCCGCCGCGCGCTTGACCGCTCAGGCCCGTATCGCACGGCCCCGTCGCCACCCGCCGCGCGTCCCGCCGAGCACGCGACTCGATCGGGACACGCGCCCGTTGTCCGCGTGTAACGCATTAAACGCGTCCAATAAAATTCGCGTAACCTATCGCGAAATCACCGTTATCATTTATGACGGGGCTTACGCGGCTTGGCGGTGTATAACGGTCGAGACGCGCCTCACGCCGTACATCTTAAGTCTGTTCCTTTTAGCTAAACTTTTTGCGTCGTTCGTCTTTTCTCCTTTCTTTTCCTCGATACAGAAAGAAAGAGGAAAGAAATAAATTGTGCACTAGAAAGAAGTTCACTTACAAAGGACAGACCTCTTGGCAAACGTTGTATCCCCGACGGTCCGACCGAGAAATCGTCGCTCAATCCCGAGCAAAGAATTAAACGATGCGGAAGAAATCCGCGTCAGCTGTCGCTGTTGTAACACTCGATTTATATTTCGTATGACGGCTGATGTAACGCGAACAGCCACGTTCCAAGTCGATTGCCAACTGCTCCGCATATATTTAATCGGTTAAAATCGATGCGACAATACGAAATGAGAGACGAAGACATCAACAGTGTGATCGGACTTGTATATTAAATTTTTTTAATGTAATTTTATCAAACAGATTTGGTTGACTTTTGGAAAGTTACTCCTCTCCTCGCACGCCGAACACTTGACACGGCCCTGTTCTCGAGGATTTTGTGCGATTTCTTATCTCTCGTTGCTTTTTCATATCTTATACAAAGTTGTTTCCGAAGTAATATCGAACATACAGTTTTCGATACATTACTTTCTTAAATCGCAAAGAGACGACTCATGCAATCGAAATATCTCCGGTAAGTCCGTTCCCAGTGGAAGAACATAATGTATACTGCGTTCTCGTTAATTCTGTTGTGTATCGATTTTTCCTTATTGATAATCAAGGTCAACGCGGTGCGCGTTGCATCATGTTCCGATCGTAGAACGGAGAGAGAAAACGAGAAAACACGCTGTCAAGATTGATGCGCAAGTCAAGAAATTAATCTGTCTATCTGTTACAAGAAAATAGCATCGATAAAATGAAAATCGATAATAATGCATTTTTTTTTCCAACAAGATTACAAGACGTTATCCTGCCTCGAGCGAGTCGTCTTGTTAAAGTTTCACGATAACACAGGGAAAACCCTTTATAATATTTTGTAACAGAAAAATTTATGTAAGAAAACTCTCGATTTTCTCTGTGCTCTTTTTATTTAATCCAACAGTCTCGTTATTGAAGAAAATTGCGTAAATGTGTTAAGAATATAAACTTATTAAAAAATTTTTTAAATAATATTTTTCAAAGGGAGATTTTGATTACACTTTCATTATTCAGTGACATGATGAAGGAGAAATGTGTTTAAAATGCAAAGCCGTCTTCACGATCTGAAAAGGCCAAAAGAATAATTTTTAGAGCTTATGGTACAATTAATTTTACTAAGAAAAATTGAAAGTTTATTTTTAAAATTTAATAAAGTGACATTCAATGTGTAAGAGACGTCTGATAAATTGACTGTTAAATTTGAGTTTTCCATCCTTCTGTTATATCTCCCACAACATATTCTTTCATTCAATTGATGATGACGAGTCACAAATTACAAAATGAGCAAAAGAGAAAGAAGAGATAAATGAATATCATTAAAAGATGAGATCTGGAATGAGATAGAATCTTGTCGCACGAATTTGCATTCGCCCGATTGGCGAATGTAAATTGTTCCATTGGTATATATGCTGTTAATCGGCTGCTTTTGTTTGTCAGGAAGAGCCCTTTCGAGCTTGTTATCTCCGGTATGTCCATGAGGCACCATGAGGTATCTCGAAGGAAGGATTCGTCGTTTCAGAGATCCTCGGTAAACACGTGACGAATTGTTTGTCCCTTCAAGGATTCATGAATTTCCATTACAACGGCAAACAAGAGATATCGAAAGTAAACGAGGATCGTACAAGATTTTCTGCCATTGGCCAGTAGTTTCATAACAAAGCTGTGATAAGTATTGCGTAACAACGTTGAATGTCGGCCGTTCAAAATAACATGTCGAAAATGAGCGATATCGCTCACTCAGCCTCGAGCCTTGATGATCAAAAGGGTAAATGAGCTGTGCGCTCATCGGAGATCATCGTAAAGCCTTTGAATTTTAGACAAGAAAGGTCCGCGTTAAGGGGCGTATCAATCGTTTAAATAGAGGAGAAATAATTTGCTTTTCCCGGAATTGTAAATAAGGGAAATACCACAGATTAGTATTCTACCAAAAGTCGATTTTCCAAAAAAAAAAAGATAAAATGTTAGATGTACAATAATTCACTTTATTTATCAGCATATTTAATGTATCTTGCCATAAAAAAAAAAAAATCTGTTGCCAAACATTTTTTTTATCGAAGAAATTTTTTTATCAAATTAAATATTATTTTTATATTAATGTTTAATTTTAAAGAAAAGGTCACCGAAATCCAGAGTGAATCGGGGAGACGATAGGTGTAATCCTAAATTACTTGAAAACATTAATTGTTAAAAAATAAATAAAAGAAAGAAACGAGATGTCGCATTTTTCTTTTTCCGTAAATCCGCCGTTGAAGCGGAGTGTTTCACATTTGCAAAATGTTTTAAACGACGGTGAACGTTCTTATGTTGTCACATTATCTGACTTTATCGCGCGACTCGGACTCGACGATCGCTCCGATTCAGTAGCGAGCGTAAAGTCGCGCGAAAGCCTGCCATCGTCAGAGTGCGTCAGAGATGTTCTCCGAATACATGCCTTTTACGACCAAGTACCTCTGTCACATATTAATCGTCATCGTCTCGTTCGTCCTGTACAAAAAATTCTTCGATCGATCGGCCAAGAAAATCGTTCAAAGTGGGACGCGTGCGCTCGCGACATCCGACGAATCCACGGATCCGAGTGAAAGTAATTTCGAGTCGCAGCGAATATTTCTACGCCATATGTGCAATGCGAGCCATTAGGCGGAATGTGGTTGTCGGTCATAATCGTCTCATTTTGGGAAAAAAGCGAAGGAAACGGCGAAAGCACCACGCTCGAGGCCTTTCCACTTGACATATTAAGGCTATCTCTCGGCACCATGTTGGTTGTATGACGTCAGAGGCGCGACAAATGACATGCGATAAATTAATTGTTACCCACAGTCTTATTTTTTTAGCTTTCCTTTTTAATAATAATTTTATGAAATTTGAAAAAAATATGTGGCAAATAGACATCTGTCCGATATATCACGTGAAAGTGTAACACAGAACTCCTGAAATGAAAATAATATATTCATTTCTCAACTATCATGGCGGTTTCTATCAGCTGATACTTCTACGTGATATGTCGGACAGATATCTCAGTTTGCCATATTTTACAAGCAAAATTATTGTATTTTTAAGGAAAAACTAAAAGGAAAAATTAAAACTATACGTAATATAGCTTATTAATTTATTGCATATCATTTTTTGTTTCTAACAACATACAACCAATATGACATCGAGAAATAGCTACATACAACCAATATGACATCGAGAAATAGATCTCAAAATCAATTATTTTATTATATAATAAACGATAAATATCAAGAATGTATAGAATAAAATAAATAACAAAATAAAATTAATAATTACCAAAAGATATTTAGAGTAAAACACTAATAAATTTAATAAAATATCGATATAATAGTCAGTATTATTCGATTAAGAATTATTATTTTATATTTAAGTATTGAAAAACTTTATTTTAATTTCGTCATCGCGATCCTCGTTTCATTTTTTAATCTTAAAGAGAAGGATTTTTCCTTCTTATAACTCTAAAATAATTGTATTATTAAATTTAAGAAGTGGGCAAATGTCTGGATTTTTTTTTCTGATTTATTTTTTTTATCTCGCACGTAAAATATGTTAAGACGCATATACTGCAATTCATCTTACACATAAATTGTTTCGTATCATTTTCCAGAAGTAGACAAGAAGTTATTTGAAATAGAGCCTGCTTTACCAAGTGATCTCAAGCACGTGCCGTACCAACATGTCCGGAAATCCGAAGAAGAATTACTAGCTCGTGCGTCAGAATTTTATCGAATAGTTGCAGCGAGAAGGACTTTAAGATTCTTCAGTGCGGATCCTGTTCCGAAGGAAGTTATTCGTGAGATTATAAGGGCCGCAGGTACTTTGATGACACAAACAACGTTTTTTTTCCTCAAAATTCAGTCCTCAAGTACCTCGCGGAACCATAATTAAAAATTAAAATTCAGCGTTTCAGAATTTGTTTAGATGTGAACGCGATCGCAAAAATGAATTTAAAAGAAAAATTATGTGTGTGTGTGTGTGTAAAAATTTAATACCGTCGGTATCGATTCGCCGAGAAGCGCTAAAAGCACCTAATAAATCGTTACACTTAAGTTCACCTATCATCCCTCCAAGTTACAAGAAGCTCATGCTTCTTTAATTTAGGTACTGCTCCTAGCGGCGCGCATACGGAGCCATGGACCTTCGTTGTGGTATCCAATCAAACTACGAAATCAGAAATCAGAAATATCGTAGAGCAAGAGGAAGAGATTAATTATAAGAAGAGGATGGGTGTAAAATGGACGACTGACTTGTCTCCGTTAAGGACCAATTGGATAAAGGAATACCTTACTACAGCCCCGTACCTGATACTCGTGTTCAAACAGACGTGCAGCATTTTGCCAAATGGACAGAAAAAGATCCATTACTATCATGAAATGAGCGTCTCCATCGCGTGCGGAATACTCATTACTGCTATACAGGTAATTTGAATATTGCAGTGTCGCAAAATCCTTTAAGTTAAAGAATCGTTTTTTCGTATTTTAAAAGAAATCTAATGTATAGTTAAATGAATTAATTTAGCGAGAGCAAGAAATCGATTCGAAAAATATTTATGCAGTTTTTTTTTAGCAATCCGTAATAGACTGCGCAAATGACCTTCGAACTTTGCGATATTCCTCTCGCATAATAAATTTACATTTAATTTATTGCATATCTCATTCTTAAATATAGTATGCCGGATTGGTGACGCTTACATCTACGCCATTGAACTGTGGACCGGCTATACGCAGCCTCCTGGGACGTCCGTCCAACGAGAAGCTCGTGTTACTTCTGCCTGTTGGTTATCCAGCTAAAGATGCCACTATACCCGACTTAAAACGGAAAGATTTGTCCGAAATTTTAGTCGAGATCGATTAACACAGGTATAAAGCACCATTGGATATTACGATTATTTCGGACGGCTGAAAAATCGAAGGAATAATTCATGACGTATATTTGTATCACTTACACATGTAAAAATCGAGAATGGGAGTATTTGAAATAAATAATCCAACATACGTTTATGTTAATGCTATTTTTATGAAAAATGTTATATTTTTTCGGATTACTAACTTTTTTTTTATCTTACATTACATTTTCGTGGATTATTTACTATAATTTACTATAATCGTAGAACGTAGTGCCTCTCGGCTTAAAATGTCACTGCCAATGTTACAAAGTAATCGTAAGATTCAAAAGAAAAAGCTAATCCCTGAAATATAGCACCTGTTCATGAGACATATCGTTCGTTTATATTTCCATTCTCCTGCAGTTGGAAAAGTATACAATGGCACACGCAATAAGACTGCTCTAAACTTAATAATCCGGTTTGTATAAACTAATATTTATTTTCAGATTTGCATACATAATATTAAAAATAAGCGATATAAAATATAAATCCATCGACCTAATCGAAGAAGAATCTTAAAGGTGAGCCGACAAATTCCAAGTGTAGTCTAATAATAGTTACAATTAGGCGGTCGTCAAAGATGGTCAAATTGAAGAAAAATGAGATTTTTACATTAACAAATATCAAATATCACCCACAGCGCCGTCTTAAATTAAGTACATTTATATAAAATATAAAAATACTGAGCTATAAACGACGAAGAACATGTAGAATATAATTTTCCTTCCAGTACTGCAAGTCTGTATATGACAGCTATGTCCGCTACTAGTAGCTATGTGTAAAAGCTTTTAGTATCATGATACATACAGAGAAACAGATAATATTCTATTTATCACTATTCATGGAACAAATACTATTAATATCATGATCTAGAATATGAATCCTTTCGTTTCCGTCTTCCGTCTTCCCTATATGAAACGCGGTCCGAGCCGACTCGGATTAGCGAGGAGCTAAGAGTTAGCGCGAAAACACACGAGATCGCCAAAATTTTCGTTATTATAAATTTATGCAACTCTGCGAAAGTTGAAATGTCTGAAAGCAACCGAAAACCCGAAACATTTCATTGACTAAGAGTAGAGTCTAGAACTAGGAGAGTATTGTCCTATTTAGCGATCTTTAATTAAATCTCTATCTCGTTCTCGTTCGCACGTTCGTAATATCGCTGTAAAGAGTATATCTATACATGTCAGTTCCTAAAATGAGCAAAAAATACACTTTGTTCAATACGAATGTAAAGTCTAACATCGTCGGTAAAATCGAACTCTGTCTTTGTCTTTAAAATTAGTAATCTCTTTGTGTTCGTTCCCCTTACGGAACTCTGCTAACAGGTTGGGCTGCGCGACGTATATCTTTACATATCTATTCGTAGAAGCTACCTCAATTAAATTATAAATACGTGTTTCCTTACATCTTTATCTCGTTGAGATCACCAGTGCCTGAGATATCTAATGTAGTAATGCTATATAAACGTATCTTCCTAATTATTATTATTATTATTATTATCATCGTTATCATTAACATAATTTAACCGGGGAGGGACGGGGGGGAGGTCGATGATCAATGCAAATTTCATAATAAATAGCAATCGATGAAGTTGCCTTTCGGTTTTTCCTTTCCTTCTTCTCAGAAAAATTCTGCCGGGCTGCGTGTCGTAAGTAATACTATATGGGTGAGCTCGTGAATACTCTCCTAATTCTCCTTAATTAGATGATCGCTATACCATAGCGGCTATACCATGGACAGCTCCGTGACTTATCTATGAAAGTGGACTTAATCACGGCGATGAAATTCGGCTATGCATAGGCGGCAAGACCAGGAGCCCTCGGGAGGTGATGCAAGAGGCGGAGACAGACAATACATGTGGTAGCCACGATCACAGTCGTCACAGAACAGCAACTGATCCTATTTCAGTTCGCCAAACCGTTAATATCAAGTATCAAATCCAAAGCGCATAATACTACATTTACAGTTTAACCGATCGTAAAAAAATGCCAATGCCAATGCCAAACGTCGTGAATCGAATAATCGACGAATAAACGTCATGAATTGCACAATAGCGATACGAGACGATAAAAAATGAAATGTTAACTCGCAAGATTTTCAATCCGATCAATTTTTTCCACGAAATCGATAATTAACATTATGGCATTCGTTCGCGCGCCGTTCTCTATTCTCGCTCGCGGATGCAAAAATTCGGATCGCTTAAGTATCCTGCGAAAGAGACTGCAATATATATATATATATATATGTATACTTACATCGTTGTCCGAGGTGCCGCAAATAGAGCAACATTTGCATTCGATACACTGCCACCTGTACTTGCGAACAGAAACGATCATGTTTGCAGTGAATTGCAAACAAGTTGGATGCCCTATAACAAGAACGTCAAGCACGTCAGGGAACACGCATTTGGGACGGAACGAGGAATCTGTCGTGGGATGCGAGTAGAAAGGTGCCAGGACAGTTATCTTGTGCCGAAGAACAGTGAACTCCAAGCTATTGGATCATTTTTATTTATCTTATTTTTTTTTTCTTTATTTTCCACAAATCATCACTTTACTTTTTCGATGCTTTCTCATCACATCGCAAATCGAATGTTTTTTTTTTTTTATGCACATGTAAAAGAGAAAGAGCCGTGGCACACAAACAAAGTTTTTGACAAATTTTTGGTCCACAAAAAATATTACGACTCTAGGATGTCTTTCACCTTTCCTCAGCACTAAAAACGTCCGGAATAATGATACGTCCTCATGTTTCCGCACAGAATACTTTATTTCATGATATCTGTAATTTCCCTTTTTTTTTTGATGTTGCATTTTGAACATACTGTTATTATTTGGAATAATAGGTGGTAAGTAATAGCAGGGCGTACCTT